CCCCCACCCCCCACCCCTGAAATGCAGCCCCCCCCCACCCCCCACCCCTGAAATGCAGCCCCCCCTCAACCCAACCCCATGAAAAAAAAATAGCACATCACTGTTTTCTCTGCGGATTCGGGGAGATCTCGACAAGCGCAGTCCAACCCCATCATCAAAAAAAAAGAAAAAAAGAAAAGACCCAGTTTTGGGCCCAACCGGATTTCCGGTTGGACCATCGGGGTTCCAACCGGCCCGGTTGGGTCTGGTCTGGTCCGGTCCAACCGGCCGGTGGCCGGTGCAGCCCTGTTCCATATTTGCTACGGAGACTTTGTCCAACGTTTTATTCATTTTTCAATCGCATCTTTGGACATTTGCTTGAAGCGTGGACACGCTTTTGTCGTTTCTAACGTGTAATATGTCTGTCCTCGGAAAGCAGCCAATAAATGAATCAATCAATAAAATGGGTCCATCAATCAATCGAGAAAATCTTGATTGATCGAGGGATTGATTTGATTGATTGATCGGCTGATTGATTTCGTTGATTGATGGATTTCATTGATTGATTGATTGATTGATTGATTGATTTTTTCGTTCATTGTCGGATAGACACTTTGTTTTTCTCAACCATTAGACTACTGGAGTATCGGGATGTGCTCGAATGCTGGGTTCTTTGGTGGATCAAATGTAAGATTTTCGTAAACTGTTCGACCCCATGGGGTTACCGTCATGCTGTCAAAAATTTTGACCCCGCAGGGGGTGCTGCCATGCTGTCAAAAATGTCGAACCCGTGGGGTTGGGGGGGGAGGAGGAGGGGGGGGTGCAGTCACACTGTCAAATTTTCAATTGGACGACTTTATACAGTGCACCTGTTCATGGGCTGATTGATTTATTGATTGATTGATTGGTTGATTGGTTGATTGATTGATTGGTTGATAGGTTGATTGATTGATTGTTTGATTAATGGCATGACTGACTTGTTTGTTTGATGATTGGTTGATTGATTGATTGATTGGTTGGTTGATTGGTTGATTGGTTGATTGGTTGATTGGTTGATTGAATGCCAATGAATGGTTGATTTCTGTGAGCAGAGGAGAGGATGGGGATAGAGAGTGGAGGAGGGAGAGCATTGAGGGCTAGGGAGTGAACTGGCTTTAACAACTGTTTTTTCTTTTGGTTTCTTTGTCTGCTTGCAGGATGACTAAAAACGGCAGCCAGTCCGTGAAGAAGCACTTCATGGAAGTGGGAATCAGTGGCAAAATCGACAATGGGAACAAAAAGCGCGTATGCAATTACTGCAACAAGCCTGTGGCCGGGACAGGCAGCAGGGCAAGGGAACATTTCCTCAAGGGGTCGAGATGCGACGTCGAGCGCCTGAGAGGTATTATACCAAAACAGGAGTGCTTGAGGAGGGAAAAGGGGAGGTCGGCTGCCAGGTCCGAGTTGGGGTCCATCACGGCACAGCGTGAAACGGAGGAGTCATCGGAGGATGAGAATGCCCCATGGAAGTTGGCAGAAGTAGTTGGGTCCGGAAGCAAGGTGTACGCCCGTACAGAGCGAAGTGGAGAAACTAAGGGAGAGCACACACTTTGCCTAAACAGAGGAGGAGCTGGAGGAGATCATCATGCGGTGCTGGAATGCAATGACATCACCGCTGCATGATGCCGCGCTGTTCATGGATCCGGCGTACAGAGCGTCGCAACCAGAAACGGATGCAGAGGTTGCTGATGGGTTTTGGACATGGGTTTCCTCTTGGTGCAAAGAGCCTTCGTATGTTGAGGTCGACGCAGAGGTTTGTTCTTGGATCGAGGGCACCGGGAGGCATACTTGTGAAGTCGCAAGGACACAAGCTCGTCTGATGCAGCCAGTGAGGTGGTGGAGGAAGTGGTGCAGTGACATGCCCATCCTCCAGAAGCAAGCCGTTCATCTGCTTGGACAAGTGTCCGCCTCCTCTTGTTGTGAGAGGAACTGGAGCTTGTTTGAACGAATTCATAGCCGTCTTTGTAACAACCTCGGCGCCATCAAGCTTAGCACACTGGTTTTCATCAGATGGAACCAGCGTTTGTTGGATGCCTTGATTAAGAAGCCGAAGACTGATAAGGCTTCTACAAAATGGGAAATGGACGAACCGGTGGAAGATCTCACACGGGATGAGATGGCCGCGGATGCGCGATTGTGGTTGGCGGAAAGACGTGGCCGGCTGCACAGAATAGAGCCGGTTGGTGATGCAGGTGAGAACGATGACTCAGGCTCCGACGACTATGACGACATTCCCGTTCAAGCACCGCAAACGCCTGCTCCAGAGGAGGTCACAATCCAACGTCATCGGTTGCGCAACAATCTGCTTGAGCTCGAGAGGGAGCTCAACAGCCTCAACGAGTCATGGAGGAACGCCACAAAGGCTTCCAAGTTTCTGGCCCGACAACGTTTGCATGAGTTGGATCAGGCCACGAGGAGCATGACTGTTGAGAATGATAACAAATACAAAGCTGCGAGGGCAATTACATGTGCACTTCCTTGATCCCGGCCACAAACGCGGGAGAGGAAGACCTTGGAAGGAGGCTGCAACTGTTGATGAGCAGGTCGAGGGTGTGGAAGGTGGCAATTTGGCAGGAGGTCCAGCACCAGCACATGGCACAAGAAAGCGAGGACGGCTGCAGAAAGAGTCCGTGCAAGAGGAGGAGGCTGCAACTCAAGGGGGCACAGGTGATGAGGAGGTTGGGGACGTGGAAGGTGGCAATTTGGCAGGAGGTCCTGCACCCGCACATGTCAGAAGAAAGCGGGGACGACCGCAGAAGGAGCCCGTGCAAGAGGTGGAGGAAGCAGCGCGAAAAGTGACAAGCACCGATGAAAGTGGTGGCTGTGGTGATGAAAATGATGGAAGCAGCAACGAAAGTGATGGCAGTGGCGATGGCCGTCACAGGAGTGGCGATGGCCGTCACAGGAGTGGCGATCGCGATGGGACTGATGGCAGTAGCGAGGAGGATGAAAGCGAAGGTGACGAGAAAGATGGTCATGAGGGGAGTGGCGGCAGCGACGGGACTGATGGCAGTGGCAAGGAGGATGAAAGCGAAGGCGACGAGAAAGATGGCAGTTCGTCGGAGCAGGGCGACTCTGAATCAGAACCCTTGTACGATTTTTGCACCTGAATTATCAGACAGGATTTGAACCTGTGACCTTCAACTGAGAAGGTTGTTGCTCTATCCAGCTGAGCTAAGAATGCAACTCACCCAAAAGAGTCAACGCAGCCGCCACAACAGAACAAGAAGCTTATTTTATTTATGTATGCGCTCATCCACGCGTCCCCCCGGACGCGGGGGTGGGGTTAGTGTCTTATTGGCCGCCTGACCTGACTGTTGTTGCCTTTAATTCAAAACATCTAAATCTATATGGTATGGAAATTGAATTTGTTGAGGTTCATATAACAAAACAGCCATCAATGCAAGACGTCCCACTGACGCGCGCGCGCGAGAGAGAGAGAGAGCACTGACAGTGCTGCCAGTCTGAAGACTCTTCTACTAATACTTAAAGGCAAAAGCGGTCCTCGGAAGACGCCCCCCGTGGGCCCAGGGAAAAAGAGTCCCGCACGGTGGCCGGACGGGACAGACATTCGATTTTCATTCCGTGTGATTTTCCCGCCTCTGGGTGGGGTCGCCAATTCGACGCCAGTGGCAGTTTTGTTGTTTTTTGTCCCGTCCGATTTTCGTTCCGTGTGATTTTCCCGGCTCTGGGTGGGGTCGCCGGTTTTGCGTTCTCGCCCACCGTTTCGTGGAGTTACATGTTTGCCATGGCGAACTGATGATGTGTGGCAGCATCACCACATGCAATGGTCGCTATCGATTTCGCCGTGCGTTTGGCGTGCGTCATCGAACTGATCGAGCTGCATGCGGCCTTCCGACAAATTTCTTTTCGACTCCAAGCTGTTGGTCGAGGTTGGAGACTTATAGGCTCTCTCTCTCTCTCTCTCTCTCTCTCTCTCTCTCTCTCTCTCTCTCTCTCTCTCTC